CACTCAGAACCAGGATTCACTCAGAACCAGTATTCACTCAGAACCAGTATTCACTCAGAACCAGTATTCACTCAGAACGATTATTCAATCAGAACCAGTATTCACTCAGAACCAGGATTTCACTCAGAACCAGGATTCACTCAGAACCAGTATTTCACTCAGAACGAGGGGACTTCACTCAGAACCAGTATTCACTCAGAACCAGGATTCACTCAGAACCAGTATTCACTCAAAACCAGGATTCACTCAGAACCAGTATTCACTCAGAACGAGGGGACTTCACTCAGAACCAGGATTCACTCAGAACGAGTATTTCACTCAGAACCAGTATTCACTCAGAACGATTATTCAATCAGAACCAGTATTCACTCAGAACGAGGGGACTTCACTCAGAACCAGTATTCACTCAGAACCAGTATTCACTCAGAACCAGTATTTCACTCAGAACGAGGGGACTTCACTCAGAACCAGTATTCACTCAGAACGATTGTTCAATCAGAACGAGTATTTCACTCAGAACCAGTATTTCACTCAGAACGAGTATTTCACTCAGAACCAGTATTCACTCAGAACCAGTATTCACTCAGAACCAGTATTCACTCAGAACCAGTATTTCACTCAGTCGGTTTAAGATTCTAAACTGCGCTGGTGTGCAGATGACACTGTTGTTTCTACAAATGATACGCTGGGTTTGTTCTTTCTGTTTAGTGAGTTTTTTTTAGGAAAAGTCACTTAGATGCAAATATATAAGAAATAAAAAGAACCATAAAGACATTAATAACCTTAAGGCTGTCCAGAAACATACAGGTTACTGATTATCCCTCTAAACTTTGTCAGTATTACTTATTCAGTGGGTCCTTAAATGGTTAGAGTACCCAATTGTTTGGCTTAGTCCAGAAATTAACCAAAGCGTTGTCATTAGAGTCCAAGTTTGGTGATTGTAATGTGTTTTCTGAAGGAACTGTAGACGAGGAGCCATCCTCAGTGACTGGAAGAAAAGACTCCCTGAGTATCAACCTGGAGTTTGTGAAGGTCAGCTTATCCAGGATGAGGCGCACCGGGGGCCCCACCTTCATCGAAAGCTTCATCCCTGCTAAAGGGGGCAAGATGGACACCACCCTCATCAACATCTCAGGTTCACCAAGACTTTTCTGTCCTTTGGTGTGAGTGAGGTGCCTGTTTCCTTTGATGTGGTGCCTTTGAAGGATCTAACCTAACCCCCCCCCCCCCCCCCCCCCAGCTGTGTGCGACATAGGCTCCGCCTCCTTCAAGTACGACATGCGGCGCCTGAGCGAGATCCTGGCGTTCCCCAGAGCCTGGTACCGGCGCAGCATCGCCAGGCGCCTCTTCCTCGGAGACCAGACCATCATCCTCCCAGGTGGGCTCTCTTTTTAGGATGGCTCTTTGTCTTATTAAAGAGCATTAGACACACCTAGTGTCCACAGATTCACAGAACCAACAGCAGAAGACCAAAGTTCTGCTTCATGTTCGAGAAACTCCCGCAGAAATTCTGCCTTACCTTTGCTGTCTTGCTTCCAAAGCTGATAGAACCCAAGTCAAAGCTCTTAGAGCAGTTTGCTTTGTAAAATCAGCATTTCCTGCTTATTTCTGATTGGACGAGGCCACGTTAGCCTGATTCTATTGGATGAAAGGATTCAAACCAGCGGCAGGGCATGCTGTCCCATGTGACCTGAGAAAGGAGAGGATACTGTGTATGATCTGTTTTAGTGGGGGAAGAACATCTATGTGGGTGATTGGAAAATGTTTTGATAGTCATTTGGTTCAGTTTTTGGTCTTTTGGCTCAGTGTTTGGTCTTTTTTCATGTTTGTTCATATTTTTATTCAGTTTCATACATATGTGAACTTTGGAAAGGTTTTTCTGTTTTTAAATGACAGAAAAACATATTTTTCCGTGTTCCATGCTCAATAACTTTGACAGCTGCTGTGAGTTTGCCTCTAAATGTTTAAAAGGGAGGTCTGTTCTGGTAATGTGATTGAAATAAGATCTCCTAACCTTTTCCGGGTGCAGCATCTGGTCCGGCGACCCCAGACTCTGCGGAGAACATCACGCAGCACCTCTCCCCGGAGTCCAGCCGGAAGGCCTACTGGGGCACCTGGGACCGCGGCTCCGGGTCTCAGCACCTGCCCCAGTCCCCCAGCGTGTTCTCAGAGCACAGCAGCGTGTCCCCGGGGGGCCCCGGCCTCCTCAGGTCTCCGGCCCCCGGACGCACCCGCAGCGTCTCCGACTCCGCCGCGCCCCGGAGAGGTGAGAACTGTCGCGGATATCCTCTCAACGACTTGTCGAATTACTCTAAGTCTTGCAAAAATACTAAGTTCTTGAAGGAGCAGTTGAAGAATTATTCTAAGTCCTGAAGGAGAAGTTGAAGAATTATTCTAAGTCCTGTAGAAGAAGCAGAGGCAGCTGGGTCCCGGTCCAAAGTGGTTTATTGCAGCAAATACAATCCAACCACATGAGCTGTTAGCCAGGCTAACAACCAACCTTCTTGGGACGAACAGTCTGCTTATAAACCTTTTGATTCTTGGGGCTCCTCCCTGAGCCCCTCCTTTATCGGGGCTCCTCCATGAGCATTCCGTTAGCCCTCTCTCTACAGGCATTGGTTCGGGCCTCAGCTGCCTGTTCCCTCCATGCCTCACAGCTGGCCTTCACACGGTCCTGTACTTTGTTCTTTATTTCTGTTTTGCCGTTCTGATGCATTCACATAGCCTTTATTATGTTGTTAGCCTCTGAACCATGGTTTCTTCCTTTTACATATATATATATATATATATATATATATATCCAAGCTACATGTTACTTCTACTTTTCTTTTAGATATATATATATTACTGCACTTACTACTAATCTTTTGTGATAATATATTCACTGTAGGATATTAATCCACTACAGAACCGGACGCACAGGGACCCCTGAGAGTCTAACCCTAACCCTAACCCCTAACCTTTGACCCCCAGCCGCCTCCCCTCCAGGCTCAGTGACCAAAACCTCCACCCCCGCCTTCGGGAAGAACGGGAAGGCGGCGGGGCCGCAGGGGTCTCCCTGGGAGACGCTGGTGGTGTTCGCCATCAACCTGAAGCAGCTCACCGTGCAGATGAACATGAGCAACGTGATGGGCAACAACACGTGAGTGGCTCACACACCTGTTTACGCACCAACCGGCAGCTGGCAGGGAAATAGGAGACTAAGAATGGACTAATTCACTAAATAAGTCCCCTTTTGGGGGGCTTGCCCGGGATGGAGCCCCCTTCCTGTTCCTGGGCTCGCATATGCGGTTCAAATGGCCCCAGAAAAGGACAGAGGAGTTTTTTAAACTCTTCTGTCTCACTTTAAAGTTCAAATGAGACATTGGTTATTCTTTATTGGTTAATTGAAATTTTACACAATTAGCGACACATTTTAGTGGTTAGTGGTAAATTCATGTCTTAATGTAACAGGTTTATTTACATTTTTGGTGGTTAGTGGTAAATTAATGTCTTTAGTTAATGGTTTTATTGAAATTTGACACAATTAACGACACATTATAGTGGTTATTGGAGGATTTGTAGAATTGAATAAACGTTTTAAACCCATTTGCGATGGCAAACTGAGCTGCTTCTGAGTGAGTTGGTGGTCAGTGAACCTTCTCACCTGGGATTAAATGATTCTAGTTTAGGAGGCTGGAGCTGGCCTGTGGCCCCCAGGCTGAGCGGCAGCAGCTGACCCTAACCCTAACCCTAACCCTAACCCTAACCCAGCGGGGGGGGGGACCGCTCCCCTCCTCGGTGAGAGTTTCCTGCATTCCTCACCGCTGTGTTTGCCCCCCAGCTGGACCACCAGCGGGCTGAAGAGCCAGGGCCGGCTCTCCGTCGGCAGCAACCGCGACCGAGAGATCAGCATGTCGGTGGGCCTGGGCCGCTCCAAGCTGGACTCCAAAGGGGGGGTGGTGGGCGGCAACATCGACGTGAACACCCTGGAGATGGTCTGTGAGTAAACCAAGCCAAACTGGGAAGGAGATCCTCAGTCAGTTTCTGCTTTAGCTTCTCTGTTCAGTGTTCATTTAAAGGACTCAGCCCACATTTCTCATTTCCAAACAGCCAGACTTTGCTCAGATCTGGTAAAATTCTGAGTTTTTCTGAGGCTTGATGATGGAAGAAGAGGGAGCTCAGAATAGAGATTTACTGATATTATATAAAGAAATGAGGGCTGCTGCCTTTGGCCTTAGTGTCATTACAAAAATACGCTTTTTTCAGCAGACTCTGCACCAGAATGACTCCTTTTTGTGTGTGAATGTGTTCCCCACAGCCCACATCTCAGAACATCCCAACCAGCAGCCCAGCCACAAGATCCAGATCACCCTGGGCTCCACCGAGGCCCGCGTGGACTACATGGGCTCCAGCATCCTGATGGGCGTCTTCAGCAACGCCGACCTGAAGCTGTGGGACGAGTGGAAGGTCAACCTGTGCTCGGCCGACACCAGCATGTCTGAGAAGAGGTGAGCCCGCCCCGCTGAGGCTCCGCCCCCTCAGCCTTCAGCTCACGCTCCCATCTGCCCCCCCACAGCGTGATCTTTGTGCACGGCGACCTGCAGTGGGACATCTTCCAGGTCATCATCTCCCGCTCCACCACGCCGGACCTCATCAAGATCGGCATGAAGCTGCAGGAGTTCTTCACGCAGCAGTTCGACACCAGCAAGCGGGCCCTGTCCACGTGGGGCCCCGGGCCCTACCTGCCCCCCAAGACCCCCATCATCAACACGGAGAAGGGCTCCACCGAGCTGTGTAAGGCCTGCGTTAAAGGTTAAAATACACCCTTCTGTCAGGAAAGACATCACTAGGAAGTGGCTCATAAATATTAACAAGTCACATCTACAAGAGCATGGTGAGTCGGGCCCAAAGCCCCCAGAGGGCTCAGGGGACCAAAAATTCAGACAAAAACACTAAAAACAGACAAAAGAGACCAAATACTGTAAGAAAAAGGCCCCTTAAATGGCCTTTTCTGCTTCTGTTTGCCTCTTTCTCACCAGGAACAGCGATTTGAATCCATTGTTTGTAGAAATACTAAAACTAAGCAAGAGTCTTCGTCTGAGGAAGTAAGAAATAGAAATTCAATAAAAAGTCAAACTTCATGATGTGACATACTGTGGCCGCCAGGAAAGCTACAAGTTAGTGGCTCCGCCCCCAAATATCATAAATATCACCATATGATAGATGATCCTTGTATGTATAGCAGACATCTGAGGCCAAATGGAGCTAGATGGAGCTTTTATTCAGACATGATGGAGATGATGATTGTCTCTCATTTATGTGCTGATGCCATCCAAGGCCCACCCCTTGAGCTATGTGTTCCATTTAAATGTCTTTTGCATGAACCAAAGCGTAAAGACTCAGAACTGCCCCCCCCCCCGTGTGCAGACATGGACGCCGCCCACCACCGCCACTGGCCCGGCGTGCTGAAGGTCATCGCCGGCTGCCACATCTCGCTGTTCCAGATGCCCCTGCCCGAGGACGCCGTGCAGCTGGGCGGCTCCATGAGTCTCCATGGCAACCACATGACGCTGGCCTGCTTCCACGGGCCCAACTTCCGCTCCAAGTCCTGGGCGCTGTTCCACCTGGAGGAGCCCAACATCGCCTTCTGGACGGAGGCCCAAAAGATCTGGGAGGACGGTGAGTCCACGCCCCCTCTGTGTCTGACCTCTGACCCCTCTGGGTCTGACCTCTGACCCCTCTGGGTCTGACCTCTGACCCCGCCCCCTCT